TTTTTTTCTTTTTCTTTTTTTCTTTTTCTTTTTTTTTTTCTTTTTATTTTCGCTCGCTCTGAGTCTGAACCTGAGCCTGAGTCTGAGCCTGAGTCTGCGCCTGAGCCTGAGTCTGAGTCTGAGCCTGAGCCTGCGTCTGAGCCTGAGCCTGAGCCTGAGCCTGAGGCCCTACCGGAAAAAAAATAGGTACCTATACCTAGGTATATCTATACCTATACCTATACCTATATCTATACCTAGGTACACACACACACGGTTTGTTTATTCATTTATTCATTTATCCATTTATTCATTTCTTCATTTCTTCATTTCTTCATTTCTTCATTTCTTCATTTCTTCATTTCTTCATTTCTTCATTTCTTCATTTCTTCATTTCTTCATTTCTTCATTTCTTCATTTCTTCATTTCTTCATTTCTTCATTTCTTCATTTCTTCATTTCTTCATTTCTTCGTTCATCTCTCTCCCGCCCGCTCTCTACCCGCTCTCTACCCGCTCCAGGTCTAAGTCTAGGGTACACTCTGCAAACTACCTACAAACTACACTCTACACTCTACAAACCAACTACAAACTACCTACACTCTGCAAACTGCGGCCACGGCCGCGGCTCCGCGGCTCGGGGGCTCGGGGCAGTGCTGCGCATCCGGCTTCCCGAGGGGCTTCTGGATCGGCGATGGTCTGGTCTGGCTTATCCACCCGCCGCCAGCCAGCCATATACAGTAGTAGTACAGTATAGTAGGTATAGTACAGTAGGTAGGTATCCACCCGCTGCCAGCCAGCCAGGCAGCCATATACAGGTACAGTAGTAGCAGTATAGTAGCAGTATAGTAGTAGTACTAGTACTAGTATATTATAGTATAGTATAGTAGGTAGCGCCATAGCGCTAATCCAAAGGGGGGATCATCCGCCTTTCACCAAGGTTGTTTGTTTGTTTGTTTGTATGCAGGTATGTCTGTATGTCTGTATGTATGTATGCAGGTTTGTATGTATGTATGTACGTAGTATGTATGTATGTAGATCGCGGTTGGCTTTCTGCTGCTTTTCTGACTCGGTTTAGGGGGGGGGGGGGGGGTCTGGACTGCAGATTGATTGATTGATTGATTGATACGGTACTGTAGATAGATAGATGGGGATGGGGATGGGCATGGGGATGGGGATGGGCATGGGCATGGGGATGGGCATGGGCATGGGCATGGGCTCTCTCGCTCTCTCTCTCTACCGAGAAGAGCGGGTCCTGATGAGCGAGCTACTTTCACTTTCACTCTCACTCTCACTACCTACTATCTACTATCGCGCTATCGCGCTCTCTTCACAGGAGCGGAAAAGCCGCACGTGGTTGAAATTTGCAAGTCGCTGCGAGCCGGGCCAGCCAGGCAGCAGGCAGCAGGCACCAGGCAGCAGGCAGCAGGCACCAGGCAGCAGGCACCAGGCAGCAGGCAGGAGTAATTTCGCCCAAAGTCTTTTTATTTTTATTCTTATTTTTTAAATTGATGCATTGATTGATTGCCCTCAGTATGGATTCTTCCCAGAAGAAGCGTCTTAGGCTCCCTGCCGCTCTGGGCGCAGCGCACAGCCACCGGCATACCCAGCTGCACCTCTCGTCTGGACGTCTGGCTCCTCCGTGGCTCTCCTCCGGTGTTGGAGTTGTGATCTGCGCCGGTTTCGTCGTACTGCGCGACGAGGAACGAGGAACGAGGTCTAGAGCGGTGCCCCTTCGCGGCTGCGCTCCCCCCGCCGGCCAGCACGCCAGCACGCCAGCACGCCAGCACGCCAGCACGAACAAGCTTCGCTAGCGGGCACGTCGTCCCATGCTTGATGAGCGTCGCTGGAGGGTTAGGTAGTAGTTACCTTCGTGCCCTTTTTTTTTTTCTCGAAGGTGAATCGTTCTGCTTCCGCCCCGCTCGTCCCTCCCCCTAGAACGTTCCCATTCTTCGCCGAACGGTTCTCTCTCTCTTCGTCCCGAGAGAAAGAAGGTTAACCGGGCTCTCAAGCCCTCGCGGCAGGTCATCGTCGATGCAGATGGAGAGACCCGCCGACGCGAGCCGACGATTACTCGCGCAGGGCCAGCCAGCCAGCCAGCCAGCCAGCCAGCACATCTGTCCCGTCCCTATACGTACCGGTACGTATCGACCAAAAAAATAAAAATAAAAAGAACAATTCTGCCCAATGCAAAGTCTAATTCCACGCCTCGCCGGCCAATCTCGGTCCCCGGTTCCGCAAGACGATCGACGCGGGACCGATGTGCCGGCCGCACGCGGGTTGGTGCTATTGCGTCCTAGGGCTTAGTCCAGTGCCCATCCCTCGCTCTCCTTGATGTCCGGAGAAGGCGAGAGGGGAGCGTTCCAGGGGCTTCTACCAAGGCTCTAGCTCGGTGATGGACGTGTCGGTACGGTAGGTAGGTAGGTAGGTAGGTAGATAGATAGTAATAGATAGGTCGGAGTGCGGACCTCATTGTACGTAGGTAGTGTACTGTACGGTACTGTACTGTACTGTAGGTAGTGGAAGTAGACATGAGGCTAGCCGGTATCTGGTCTGGTCTGGTCTGTGCAATAGAGTTGGGCAAGGCTGATGGCTATTTACGGAGTCCAAGCTGGTCACGGCACTTGAATCAAGGGGTGAAGAGCCTTAAATCTTCCCTGTGCGACCCTGGATGCTCACGTCTGGCGGGTGTCAGTGTTTCGCGCGGGACGGGCGAGCAAAAGGGAAGGGATGATGGAGATTCGACGACGGGACGGGAAGTGACGTGACGTGACGTGACGTGACGTGACGAGGCTCTCCCCTCTCCCCTCTCCCCTCTCCCCTCTCCCCGACCACCACCACCACCACCACCACCACCGACGACCAGGTCCCCCGTCTGGAGCCGAGATCAGGATCCTCCCAGAATTTAGCCATATTGTTTGCAGAACATGCAACTCCTTGGAATGATCATCTGAACCTAATGCTCGTATCCCGCTCTGCGTACAGCCATCGGAGGAATCCCTGTCTCCCCCCC